GTGCTGGGATTAAAGGCATGCGCCACCACCGCCCGGCCGCCACTTCTTTCTATACACATACATGTAGATAATTTTATATCACTATATATGTAATTTTTAGATTTTTTTTATCTTATGTCTGTGAGTGATTTGCCTGCATGTATACATATGTACCACATGCATGCCTGATTCCTGTAAAGAAGAGGACATGGCATCCCCTGGAACTGGAGTTATGGATAGTTAGGATCCGCCACATGGGTACAGGGAACTGAGCCTGGGTCCTCTGCGAGAGCAACAAATGCTTTTGACCACTGAGCCATCTCTCCAGCGGCTTTTTTTTTTTTTTGACAGTGTCTCATGTAGCTCAGGCTGACCTTGAACTTGCTAGGTAGCTGAGGATGACCTTGAACTTGTGATCCTCTTGCCTCAACTTCCAGAGTGTTGATGTTATAGAGGTGTGCCACCATGCCCAATTTATGTGGTTGAATCCAGGCAAGCTCTCTCTACCAACTGAGCTACACAGCCAATGTGCTCACATTCAGGATTGATTCTCTCTCTCTCTCTCTCTCTCTCTCTCTCTCTCTCTCTCTCTCTCTCTCTCTCTCCCCCTCCCTCCCTCTCTCTCTTCTGGGGATAGAATCCAGGTCCTTGTTGGATGCTCTGCCAATTAGCCACACTCTCAGCCCCATTTATTCTCCCTGTAACTCTAGCTGTCCTGGAACTGGATAGTAAACTAGTCTCGCCTCGAACTCACAGAGATCCTCCGGCCTTTGCCTCCCAAGTGATGAGATTACAGACAGTACCCACCCACTATGCCTGGCTGCCATCATTATTGTTAAAGCGCATCACATGTTTCTTAATCAAAGGATAATTACGTTGGGGCTGGAGAGGTGGCTCAGCAGTTAAGAACACCAGCAGGCTCAGTTCCCAGTGCCCACATGGCAGCTCACGACTGTCTACAACTCCAGTTCCAGGGTAGTCGACATTCTCACGCAGACACACATGCAGGCAAAACACCAATGCACATAAAATAAAAATATTTTTAAAAAGAAATGTGAGCTGGGCAGTGGTGGCGCACACCTAAAATCCAGCACTGGGGAGGCAGAGCCAAGCAGATCTCTGTGAGTTCGAGGCCAACCTGGTCTACAGAGAGAGATCCAGGACAGGTACCAAAACAACACAGAGAAACCCTGTCTGGAAAAAAAAAAAAAAAAGAAAAGAAAAGAAAAGAAAAAGAAAGAAAGAATGTGATATATGCACAGAGACACATCAATTCCCATGTTAACCCACACACACACCCACACACACACCCACACACATACACAGTCTTTTTCAAATTCATGGCCTCTGGCCTTTTTATTTTCTTCGATTTTTGTCACCTATACATATGTGTATATACATTTATACATCTCTCTATTCCTGAATATAGTAATACAATCTGCTCAGTTCGCATAACATTACTCATATGTATAAGATTTTGGGACTGACTGCTTGGTACTGGATAACCAGTGAGAGCAGCACTTCCCTGGGGAAGATTATTTTCTCCCACTCTGTGCTCCTTGGTTGCCTGCAGGATTTTGTCTATGGTTGGAGTCCTGTGAGATTTCCCCCCTCTACGGTAGCATTGACTATTGGCGTCCTCCTCTTTCAGGTCGTATCCTGGAGCCTGGTGGAGACTTCGTGGGTGGAGCTTTCCTGACCTTTCTAGGAGATGAAATCTCACAGGACACATCCAGTTCCTCTGGCTCTCACAGTTTTTCTGCCCTGAATGTTACCTGAGCTTTAGGTGCAGGAATTATGTTATCACAGATCAGCTGGGCTGGGCACCAAGGAGCACAGGAGAACATGTTCTCTGTATTTTGATCAGTTATGGTTTTCTTGGATTTCTTTGTTTGGGTTTTTTGTTTGTTTGTTTTTTGTTTTTCAAGACAGGGTTTCTCTGTGTAGCCCTGGCTGTTCTGGAATTCACTTTGTAGACCAAGCCAGCCTCAAACTCAGAGATCCAGCTGCCTCTGCCTCCCGATTGCTGGGATTATAAAGCCAGCTCAATTGCTTTTTTGTTTGTTTGTTTGTTTGTTTGTTTGTTTGTTTGTTTTGTTTTTGTTTTTTAATGGTTTCTGGCTGTTACAGAGGGAAGTTGTTGAGGGATGAGATCTGCACTAACCCAGCTAGACCACAAGCAAGATGTGCAGAACCTGGCTAGGCAGAGAGGTTGGGAATGGTGATCAAGGGCCCTTTAGGTTAAGGGCAGTGTGGCCAGGGCTATCTGGATTAGGTCAGGGCACTGAAGGAGGGTTCTGAGCCAGACCTGGGCAGTTGGACAGGGTCAGTGAAGGGGAATATCTGGACATATTTTTTTCATTTTATGTGTATGGGTATTTTGCTTGCATGTATGTTTGTGAACTGTATGTGAGCCTGGTGCCCACAGAGGCCAGAACGGGGTGTCAGATCCCCTGGAAATGGAGTTACAGATGGCTGTGTGAGGCCTGTATGGGGGGTGCTGGAAATTGAACTCAGGTTCTCCGGAAGAGCAGCCAGTGCTCTTAACCTCTGAGTCATCTCCAGTGCCTGGACATCATATGTAGTGGCTGTCTCACATCCTTATTCATTTACTTTTTTAAATTTTTTTTATTTTTTAGATAAGACTTTGTTGTGTAGCTTAGGCTGGTCTTGAACACATCAATCCTTCTGCCTCTGCCTCCCAAGCGCTGGGATGACAGGTGTACACTACCACCATGTCCAATTTTGTTTTGTTTATTTTGATTTATTTATTTATTTTTTTCTGGAGACAAGGTTTCTCTGTGTAACAGTTCTAGCTGTTCTGGAACTCACTTTGTAGCCCACGCTGGCCTGGCTGTGAACTCACAGAGATCCACCTGCCTCAGCCTCCCAAGTGCTGGGATTAAAAGAGTGTGCCACCACTGTCTGGCTACCATGCCCGATTCTGCTGTATCATTTTATCATGATGTGTTCCAGGAGGCATTCCTCACACTATCATGATGTTCTCTAGCCCTGTTCTCCATGAACACACTCCCAAACATGCGTCCCCAGCCCTCGGGGACTCCTGGCACATGCCTCGTGACTCCCAAGCTTTGCAATTGAGATTTCCCTGGGGAGAGAGAACAATGCACTGGACACGTGCATCCAGCAGGGTGAGGCTCCAGGCTTTTCCTCCTACTGTCTCTCAGACAGACAGAGAGATGGCCAGACAGACAGGACAGGCGGCTGAGAGGCACCAGGGGAAGGTGGAGCGATGACTTTGAGGGTGACTGGCCTTTCTGGGACAGATTAAAATGGAGACAGTGGGGTTACTGAGAGCAGATCTGCCACCCTGGCTGGCTACTGGCTTGAGGTCAGAACAGGTGACAAAAATGGGGCTCCCTCTTCTGAATATTCTCAAGGGTGTGCATCGGTAGACGGACAGCCAGAGAACCATAGACTTAAGTGCAGAAACTTGGGACCACAGACAGCAGAGCAGGATGGCCACAGAGCCCCAAGTGCAGACAGTCAAGTAGAGGTGGGATGTCCAGACATTGGGATCTCCTGGGGCTTCCTGGCTGGGCACAGAGAAGTCCATCTCTTGGTGTGGCTCACCCCAGAGCCCTAAGCTGTTGAGGTGGAAAATGGGACCGTCGAATACAGAGGGCTCAAAGGTCTCCAGGCAGGAGAGCCAGGATCTGGACACTGATGCCTCATGTTTGAGATAAGTTACTTCTTGGGCTCCTTTCTTCCCCGGCTCTCAGAATGGAGAGTGTCTGGGGCCACCTGTCCACAGCCTCCAGTTTTGGCAAGATGCATCTCTGAGGCAGATCCCAGGGAGCAAAAGTGCCTGGCTTCTTCCCACACTGCTCTAGCTCTCATGGGGCCGAGAGGGGGGCAGTTTGCAGAGGACATGGGAAAGAATAAAGGCAGCTTCCAACAGCTCTGCGGGCTGCAGGCAGCTGACCGTGGCTAACTGTGGGATCTTAGACCAGTTCCTCCCAGGACCCCTGAGGTGCCCCCAGGGGGGTGATTCCAGAGCCTAATGCCCCTCAACTGCTCCCAGCCGCCCCCTCTATGAGTATCAAAATTCTTCAGGACAGAGCTGACCCTCAGGAACAGTGGATAAAGCTGGGCGTGGTAGCACATGTCTGTAATCCTGGTACTCAGGAAGACAGGAGGACCAAGAGTTCAAGGCCAGCCTGTACTACATGGCAAGGCTGTCTCAAAATAAGTAAATAAGAAGGGACACCACCATGAGGCACTACGCCAGCCCTTGTGTGGGGAAGGGCTGGTTTCCTGCCCTTGATTAGGGGGAGAGTGTCTTAGAGCGTGCAATGCTGGGTACTCAAAGTCCACCGTTCTGCAACTGGAGAGTCAAAAAAGGTCCCTTTCCCCTTCCAACCGTGCCCTGGCCACATTGCTGAACCTCCTCGGGGACCATTAGTTGGGCAGGAACTGAAAATAGAAGCCCCGTCCCCCGCGCATGCGCGCACACCCTCTGTGTTCACGGGCTATCCCCAGATCCCTATAGCCCAACTTTTGGCACGGGACTTGAGCTTTGTGTGCAGCAGAATTGAGGAGAGGGTTGAAAAGCGGAGGGATCCCCTGTTAGTCCCAGGTCCAAGGGGCACCCAAAGAGCGGAATTCTGCTCTGTGAGGCCAGGCTAGCCTGGCACCAGGCCAGTGCCCCCAGTCACAGCCAGGCAGCTGGACAGGACGGTTGCCAAGAATGCCAGGAATGTAGGCTGGCTGTGTTCTTCCCGCTCCTCTTCCTCCCCCCTCCAGTCAGAACAGGATATTTCCTATCCAGGGAAACCCGGTCCCTTTATGGGAAAACCACGGGGCATCTGGCGGCGCTGTCCCTGGGTTTGGATGGGTGAATTGGGATGGGCACCCAGAGTCAGGGTCTCCAGCACTGCTGGGTGGGTGATGCCAGGGCAGTGGGCATCTGTGTGGTTTCAACACCCGTCGAGGGCCTACGGTGTACCAGATGTTTCCTCTCACAGCACCTCTGGAGGCTGTTTTACTGAAAGGTAAACTGCTTCAGGCATAGTGGCATATGCCTTTAATTTTAGCACTCAGAAGGCAGAAGCAGGGGGATCACTCTGACTTCAAGGCCAGCCTGGTCCCTAGGCACTGACCAGCAAGCATCACTGGCCCCCAGGCCAGCCTGGCTGTGATGTTCATAAGGTTGGCCACTGAGCCAGGTGGTCTCCATTCATCTGTGACAGCTGGGGGCCCTGTCCTGGTCTCCGCCATATGGACGCTCCCATTGGCAACTGGTCTGTTCTTCAGCCAACAGTGAATGTGGGCAGTTTGTCTCTAGACCGGGACAGGCTCCCCAGGTCCAGCCCTACCACGAAGCTCTTCTTGCAGGTCTCCAGGGCTGTGGGGATGCATGTGCTTGCTCTTCCAGACTTTCTCAGATCTGTCGCTGAGAGGAGTCACAGAAATGGGAGGGTGCTGCAGGGTAGGACAGGTGAGCTCAGTCCAAACTCCAGATTGTGATTTTCAGCGCGCACAACCTGTCTCTCAAAGCCAACTTTCTCCATCCGTTTTTACTGAGCTATATATACTTGGGGCTTCACCACCGGATTTATGGGGAGCCCCTAGCTTTTCGTTCTCCTACAGCCTCGGATGAGCAGGTGAGGGGCAGGAAGAAGTATAGATCTATGGCCTGGGCTTTCCAGGCCCCCAACCAATCTCAGCGGACTGGAGAATAAGGAGTCATTCCGATGGGAACCCCTCCATCAGAAATCAGGAGGCCCCGTGGTTTGTTCAAAGTGACAGCTGCCACCTGGAGGAGCTGTGATCTGGTGTTGGGTCTCAAGACATTCACCAGAATTCACACGGAGTTTGGGTCAGCGCCTGGATCCCGCCCCTCCTCCACTCCAGGCTCAATGTCTGAGCTCCGGCGGTTCTGTCCTAGTGAGCTGTCCGGCACCGGCTCCGGGTCCCCCGGGGGGCCAGGGTCAGGTAAACAGGATCCCGGCCTAGCTGCCTGACCTTGCTTACCTCCCGAAAGAATGTGAGGCATTCTTCCCCGTCTCGGGCTGAGTCACCCCGCAGCAATGTGCCCACAGGCGGCCTCCAGCAGCCCTCGCCGACCCCAGCCCCTCGCCTTCCCACCGCGTGATGTCACCCATGCTGCCCCCTCCCGTACCCCCCCCCATGGAGCCCACCGAGGCCTCCAGTTGTCATGACGACGGTTCACAACAGGAAACGAGGCCTGCGCCGGGCAGAAACACAGGAAGCAGCGCTGAGCGCTGGGCAGCATTGTCAGCCCGTAAAAAACAAAACAGGACAAAAAGATTTAATGAGAACAATTAGCCCAAAGAAAGAGGAAAAAAAAAAAAAAAGGCCAAAAAAACAAACAAAGCCAAACAGCCTGAAGACAGGGGCTGGCGGGTCTCCAAGGACCCCGTGTTTTCCCTCCCACACAATGTAGGTTAAATAATACTTCCTTCTCAGAAGTGGCTCCTGGGGCGCGAGGGTCCTTCCCAGTGGCTCCCCCTGCTGCTCCAGGTGCAGCGCTGAAAGCTAGAAGGACCCCTGGGCCCGCCCCGCCCCTTCCCACTTTGCAGAAGGGGCATTCAGTGGAGAAGGTTGCAGCCAGCGTGGGGAACTCAGAGGGACAATGGCCCTGGGTTGAAATCAGTGCGAATGACCTTCTCTCGAGACTGTTTCTTCTCGGTCTCCCTCACCAGAATCTTCAGCATCCTCGGCATCTTCCTTCCCAACTCACCTCAGTGAGCTGGTACAGCGCAGGAGGTGCAGATGTTTGCCGAGTGCGTTAATGCATAAGTGGACTTCCTTGGAGGCCGGGGTTAGTTCATTGTTAACTAACGAGCACCAGAGATGGGTGAAAGAGCGTCATCAAGGATCAGGCGCCCAGTTACCGGAGCTGGGAAGACTTGGTGGGACCTTGAAGAGGCAATCCTTATGCCTCCCTCTCTGGCTCCCATGATTCCCTGTGGTGGTAGCATCTCCCCCTGCTCTGTGAGTAGGGGAGGAGAGCCCGCAGCTCAGGTAGACCTAGAAACTCCGGCTCTTTGTAATACTTGGAAATAAAGGAACGCAGGCCCTGAGCAAGGAAGGCCGCCATTTACACATCCATTCAGTTCCATCCTTAGGAACGGATCAGAGTGTGAATGACGCCGTGGAACAGTAGTAGAGCTGGACTCTGGACACAGGATGTTCAGGCCAGCCTCTGTGATGAGGCACCAGCAGGCACCTGAAGTGGGCCCAGTGCCCCCTGGCAATGCTCAGCAATGGGAAGCTATTCAGGGCTAGACTAGAGAGTGGCGGGCATGTCCAGACAAGAGGCACCGGGAGAAAGGAACCAAAAGTAACACACAGGCATTTGTTTGGGCAACAAAAGTGTGTTTGTTCAACCGAGCACAGGTACTGGTCAGGAAGCCCCGGGTGCCCTGGGAGAGATACCCAGACCCATGGGATAGCAGCAGAGTCTAAAATCAGGGGAAATGACATGAGGAAGAACCAGAGGAGGGACCCCAGAGCCACACAGGAGATGATGGGACCTAACTGTCCAGGTACCAGGGAGCCACTGTGGCTTTTCTGTTTTTTGAGACAGGGTCTCACAATGTAACTGGCTGGCCTGGAACTCACTCTGTAGACCAGGCTGGCCTTGAACTCACAGAGTTCCACCTGCCTCTGCCTTCTGAGAGCTGGGATTGCAGGCTTGGAGCAGGCTCACAGAGCAAGTGGTGATGTGTGTAACTAGGTCAGGTTGTTTTGGGGTGACTCCTTAACATATCAGGGCAGAGGACAGATGGGAGGTCAGGGGATCTGGGACAGCTGACCGTTCTTTTCTTTTAAATTACAAAAAAATTCAAAAGCCTGGTGTGATGGCGCACACCTTTAATCGCAGCACTTGGGAGGCAGAGGCAGGTGGATCTCTGTGAGTTTGAGGGCAGCCCAATCTACAGAGTGAGTTCCAGGTCAGCCAGAGCTACATAGTCAGACCCTGTTTTGGAATAAATAATTTTAAAGCGGTGTACGTTAGAGTGCTCAATCAACTTAGCTAAATAATAAGCACTTCATACTGCAGTTTCTTTTGCATACATTGCCTTGATGATTCTCACTATAATCCCATTACATATGAGAAAACCAAAGCTCAGAGAGGTTGAAGGATTTGCCCGAGGCAGCACAGCTTAAAATGATAGAGTTAGATTCCAGCTCTGCCATCTCACAACACAGAGCTAGCTCAGTGCCAGACCCTAGGAACGCACATGTGAGAGCAAGGTGGTGACCTTGACATCCTGGTGGAGGACAGAGATAAGGACACAGTGGTCCAGCAGCTCACGTGGTAGAGGCCGAGGGTGAACTAGAGAAGGGAAGGTCTCTCAAAGAGAGAGCAAAGCAGCCACAGGATGCCCCTCGGGAGAAAGAGCAGAGGCCAGGGTTCAGTGTATGGGGGTGTGGAGGGCACTGTCAAAGGCAGATTGATGAATTTCAACCCAGCCCTCACCAAGGTTGGGCCTCAAACTGGAGGTCCTCAGATGGGATGCTGAAAGGACATGTCTCCCACCTTGTCCTCTTGCCCACCGCTGTCCTCTGGCCCCATCTTGCCCTAGGGACAATGAGAGGTAAGGATCTCTTCCATTCCACGCCTATATTTATTAGTCAGGGTCCTCTAGAGGAACAGAACTGATAGATGGAATCTATACGTAAACTGAAAGGGGATTTATTAGGATGGCTACAGGCTGTGGTCCAGCTCTGTGGTCCAACAATGGCTGTCTACTGACAGAAAGTCCAAGAATCTAGTTGTTCAGTCCATGAGGCTGGATGTCTCCACTGGTCTTCTTCAGTATGTGCTGGAATCCTGAAGAAGTAGGCTCTTATGCCAGTGAAGGAATGGACTTGCCAGAGAGAGAGAGAGAGAAAGCAGGCAAAGAGCAAAAGCTTCCTTCTTCCGTGTTCTTTTCACAGGCTGCCTGCAGAAGCTGTGGCCCAGATTGAAGGTGGATCTTCCCATCTCAAAAGCCAGATTGAAAGTGAGTCTTCCCACTTCACATGATTTAATTAAGAAAAAAAAAAATCCCTCACAGCACTTGGGTTTTAATTAATTTCAGATGTTGTCAAGTTGACAACCAAGAATAACTATCACACACACTCCAGCCCCTTATGGGGACTTGGCATCGTGGGCGGTGGGAAGGTCTATAGAGAGGGCAGGGGGGGCCACAAGGACCCTAGAAAGTTGAGGGACGGGAAGAGACATCACAGGGCTGGGGAGATGGTTCTGTGGGTAGAGACACCGACCTCCAAGCCTGACCGAGTCCAATCCCAAAGACCCAAAGACAGAGGGAAGAAGCTGACCCCTTGAAGGTGGGGTTGTGTGACTTCCACATGTGTGTAGCTGTGCCCACCCCAAGTCATTAAGTAGATAAATAAGGGGCTGGGATGGGAGAGATGGCTCATCTATTAAAGGCTAGGCTCACAACTGAAAGAACACTTGCTGCTCTTATAGACGTCCCAGATGTTTAGAATTCCATTTCCAGGATATCCAGCACCCTCTTCTGGCCTCTTTGAGTACTGCATATGCATGGTAAACATACAAGTAGGTACACACACACAAACACATAAATTTTAATACACACACACTATGTGTGTGTGTGTGTGTAAAAGAGACATCACAAGGGGCAGAGCAAGGACATGGGTCTGAAGCTATTAGTTCTCATCTTGCCTCTGCACCCCCCCCCCAAGGATAAAGTATTCCCCTTTCTGGGTCTGAATTCGCTCATCTGTGTGGTAAGGGACAGTGACTCCCTTACTTCACAGTGTCGCATCTGAATTTGCGGGCTGGCGGTGGTGCATGGAGTCAGGCTCTAGCTCTTAATCAAGAGACACTCAGTCTCTGGGCCTCGGTTTCCTGCAAGAAGAAGTTATTAGCATCCTGTGTCTTCTGGGGTGCTAGGGAGTTCAGCATGCATGGACTAAGCTATGAAGCCTCTCTGTGTCTGGGCTCTATCATCTGTGAAACGAGACAATGAGCATGCCTACATAAACCTGCATTTAGCAAATGCTGAGGGCATGTGTGGAGAGGGTCACCTGGCTCAGTCTCTTTCTCTATCATTTTCCTCCGACAGTGGCCTCCCTCCCTTGCGGAAGGGCTAGCCTGCAGGGAAGCGTTAAGTCCAACGGTAGACTTTGGTGTTTCTGCTGCATTCTGGCAAATTCTAGCTCTTCTCCTCGGCCTCAGCTCTCTCCAGCAGAGAAGCTGGGGAGCGCGCAGAGCTGCCAGACACCCGGGAGCTTAGCGCCACATGGTGGTCAGAGTGGGTTCTGCTGCCCTGGAAGGATCCGGAGAGGCAATGTGGGTGGGTGCCTGTCTTGATCCCAGGACCTTTGTGTTTTGATGATGTTATTCACTTTGGTTTCCCAGCAGGAGGCTGGCTGGCTCTCTAGTAACTGGCTAGCATCTGGTAACAGTGGAGCTCCCCATCTGCCCTCTTCCCCCCACGCCTTGTTGAAGACTGCCTCAGGATGAACACTAGGGTGGAGGTACCAACAGACAGGTTCTCTTGAGAGAAGCCCCAGGCTGACAGAGAAGAGAAACAGATAACAACGAGTCAAGGCTATGGTGGAGGGATGCTGGAGGCCTCACTTAGTCCAAAGATGAAATCCCTTGTGACTGTGGAGCCTTCATCCCAAGGATGGGATGAGAGGGGCCCGGTGACCCTGACAGTGTAGCAGAGGTGGTGGGAGGGGCCTCAGGGAACCTGAGAGTGTAGCAGAGGTGGTGGGAGGGGCCTCAGGGAAACTGACAGTGGAGCAGAGGTGGTGGGAGGGGCCTCAGGGACCCTGAGAGTGTAGCAGAGGTGGTGGGAGGGGCCCGTGACCCTGACAGTGTAGCAGAGGTGGTGGGAGGGGCCTCAGGGAACCTGAGAGTGTAGCAGAGGTGGTGGGAGGGGCCTCAGGGACCCTGACAGTGTAGCAGAGGTGGTGAGGCCCCCCCCCAACCTGACAGTGTAGCAGAGGTGGAAGCCCCATGGCTGTCCGCGGGATATGGTGAAGCTACCTAGCCTTTGGGGGCAGCCTGGAGGTGGCTCAGACTGGAGGGAAAAGTGCTGGGGACCCGACTGTGAGTGGAGGGGATGGTGGCAGCAGTTACAGGGTCTAGAAGGAAATGTCCGTGACACCTCCTGGGCATCAGGTCTGACTGGATCAGTTTCTCAAGCCAGGTGCCTGAGAAAGGTTAGAGAGAGGAAGAGAAGGCAAGACCAGGAGGATGCTCTCTTCAGGCTGGGAACTCGTCTGAAAAGGTTGGGGAATCCAAGTGGATACTCCAGGGAACAGTGATGGCAAGGTGTTGATGTTTTTAGGGTGGAAGTCACTGCTCCTAGTGATCTGTTCTGTTGGGGTATTATAGTGTCAATTAACAAGGCAATTCCACATAGTTTATCTGGTAATCAAAAGAGGTTTAATTCAGGGGTAACTTACAACCCATAAGGGGTCGATTACAGGATCTCTGGAGAACTCTGACTTGGTCTGCAATCCAGACTCCAGGACCACGAGGAGCTAAGAGAGCAAGCAAGTATGCATCTTGAGTCTTAAGGGGTCTTTTCTCGGCCACGCCCCAGGGGCAGGTTACAGGCAGGTGTGGCAGTTACTTATTGCCACACTAGGGGCAGTGCTTCAAGGTCAAAGCTGGAACAGGTCTATACCACTACAGGGTATAGACAGCGCCTCTCACCAACCAATGTGCATGGATCCCTGGGGTCCAGTACAATGTGAGCTCCACCACAGAAAAGGGAGTGGTCCAAGACACTGAGAGGGTGGTGCTACTAGATGCAGAAAGGGTAAGGCCAGAGGCCCAAGAAGCTGAATGTGTGACAGTCCTGGCAGAAGGAAGAGAGGGGGACCTGGCTGTGACATGGGGGAGGGAAGGAGGGGTCCAGTACAAGATGAAAACATGAAGGAAACCCTTCTGTTTTCTGACATCAGAGCAGAGAGAAACCACGACCAGGCCCATCTAGGTGTGCAGCCTGCAGAATGGCACTGGCCACACACCAGGAAGCTGGCCCTGGGGGCTGGAGAGACAGGCAGGGGGACAGGGATCCTCTCTGGTGCCCTCAGACCCAGCGTCTGATTGACCCCCCTCTCTTCCTCTACCTGCTCACCTCCCTCCGGTCTGCTGGGGCCATAGTACAGCCATGCTGCCCTCTGCCCTCAAGCAGTCCTAAATAGGCTTCTCCTCACAACTGTCCAAAGGCAGTTAGTTACCCAGGGTTCCACCCCTCTCTTCCTTCCCTTGTAGATTAAATCATTTTTAGGGGGCATCCTTTTTGGTGTCTCCTTTGGAGGAGAATTTATATGTGCATAGTCGATACTCTCACGTTATCACTGTAGATGTATAACTTCTACCTTTATTTTTGTGGGTGTTCTGCCTGCACGTGTGTATGTACACCATGTGTGTTGGACATCCTGGGACTGGAATTGTGAGTTGCCGTGTGAGTGCTGGGAATTGAACCCAGGTCCTCTAGAAGAGCAACCAGTGCTCTTAACCCCTGAGCCAGCTCTCCAGCCCCGATTTATAGTTTCGAACACAGGTATAATATGGTTTTGCAAGGCTCATTGAGGAAAATAAACCCTACCCTGACCCTTTATGCCCCTCCCCCAACTCAACCCTACTCCTTTCCATGGCCGCCACTTCAATCTGCTGGCTCCGGTGGTGTGAATCTCTGAGTGGAAACTGCACGCTGCAGGCAGAAATGGAGGACATGGCTCTCTTTCGTCCTGGTGTTCCTCCCTTCTCTCCCTCCTCCGAGGACAATCATCCACCTGTGGTCAGAACGATATCCAGTGTTCTGGCACTGAGATTATTTGAATGTTCTCTGCAGAGGTGGGGCATGCTGATACACTGAAAGCATTCGGCTTCTTGGGAGTTATCTTTACTTTTCTTGGGGATGTTTTTGTTTTGTTACTGTGGTGGTTTGAATGAGAATGGCCCCCATGGCTCAAATGTTTGACTACTTGGCCACCAGTTGGTGGAACTGTTTGGAAAGGATTAGGAGGTGTGGCCCTGTTAAAGGAGATGCCTCTCTGGGGGTGGGCTTTGAGGTTTCAGTTAACTCATGCCATCCTCGGCATGCTCTCTGCCTCCCCCTTGTGGATCAAGATGTGAGTTCTCAGCTACTGTCCCAGCAGCCTACAGCCACACCTTTGCTAACCTAACCCTACGGAAACCTAAATCGAATTCAACAATTTCTTTTCTAAGTCGCCTTGGTCACGGGTGGTGTCTTATCACAGAAATAGAAAAGTAGCTAAGACACGATGTGTTTCTCTGCATTCCCTCAACTCTCCAGTTAGGTCAAGTTCCTGGAGCCGTTCAAAGGACTCAGCACTTTGTTTGGAGACCGGCAGAACCTTGGGCTCACTGGCTAGCCAGGCTAGTCTACTTAGTGAGTTCCAGGCCAGTGAGAGACTCTGTAACAACAACAACCTGAAGAACTACAGCCGAGCTTGTATGACCTTCACATACGCGTATGCATCCCTGCCTAGTATAAACAACACACACACACACACACACACACACACACACACACACACACACCCCTTAGAGATTTTTTTTTTTTTATCTGTAAAACACTAAGAGGTTAGTTCTTATGCTATCTATGTAAGGAAAACTCTTTTGCAAAGGAGAGTCAGGCTGTCTGAAGCCCCACCAAAGCTCATTCCAAGCCAGTGGCAGTTAGACTCAGGGGTCAGCAGCTAAGGGAACACTAAAAAGCTAGCAAGGGACTCCAGGCATAGTGTGCATGCCTTTAATCCCAGCACTTGGGAGGCAGTGGCGGGTAGATCTCTGAGTTCTAGGACAACCTGGTCTACAGAGTGAGTTCCAGGATAGTCAGGGCTATACAGAAAACAAACAACAACAACAAAAAAGTCAATGTTCTTCAGGACAGCCAGAACTGTTACACAGAGAAATATCCCTGTCTCAAAATAATAATAATAATAATAATAATAATAATAATAATAATAATAATAATAATTC